TTCGTTTCTTTGAGTTCCTATAAAAATTAGGACATGACTGGACACTCCCCAATTACCGAGTCCAAACTTTGGGTTTCTGAACTCGTTTCTTTTATTTCGTTTTGTTTTCATGTTGATTTGAGGCTTGCGAATCGGGGGAGGAGGCGGAACTTGAAGGAACTTCGAGGAGTTTAAGGTGCTTCGAGGAGGCCATGAATGGGAGCAGCACAAGCAGGGTACTGGGCATCGAAAACAGGTATCTAAGCCTCGAGTGTTTGTTGACAGATCTGGCCTTTGTTGATAGATGGGTTCTAAACAGAACATAAAAATAATCTAAATAGAACATAAAAGTCATCTAAATAGATCAGAGCTACTTCGTTCAGTTATCGCGGCAGATTTAGTAGGGTAAGCCCTTACTAGACCAAGTTTTGTAGCACTCTCCTGTAAACTCCTAAATTGCTGATGTTTTTTCCGGGCAATATCATTTTCATTTCTTGTCCTTATCTTGTCTCGGTCGTCTTTTAGTCCTTGTTAGCACACTGACGATTTGTTTGTCTTCTTTGTATGTTCAGTTTCCAATAGGGATAGATTCAGAAAGGGTTATATCAGCGCTTAAGCTCCCAAAGGTGCAGGAGCACATAAAAGAACTGACGGAAAGGTTTCGTGGCCGTAAGGTTTAATCTGAATTTAACCTCCATATGCTGTTTTACTTGCTTAAGAGAAAGCAACCTACCGATTAAAGTCACTGGCTTAGTTTCTTCATTCTTGAATGTAAACGTCCTACTCTTTAATAAGTGATGCTAGGGGTTGATCGTCTCGATACGATTAAGGGAATACCACAGAAGATACTTGAATTTGAGAAGTTTATTGAGGAGAACCCTCTATGGCGTGATAAAGTTGTTCTGCTGCAAATTGTTGTGCCAACAAGAACTGATGTTCCTGAATGTAAGCTTCCTAGTTATCTTGTTTCATACAGCAAAAAGAAAACATGCCTTATTCTTGTTTGGAGTATTCATTTGAAGTACTAATAAATTATATTTGTCACATGTGTAGAGATCAGAAACTTACAAGTCAGGTTCATGAAATCGTTGGGCGCATTAATGGCCGATTTGGGACACTAACTGCTGTTCCAATACATCACCTGGTTTGTTACTGTCAACTTAACTCATCTTCTTTCCATATGTTTTGTAAGATGTTAGTGGAAACAATGGAAGCTGTTTCCGGTCTTTCCATGTAATATCGTGATTAGTTCTTTTACGTAAATTTGGTCACCAGACGGCTGGTGATTGTATCCTGAAATAGACTTCTGTTAATGCAGGATCGGTCCTTGGATTTTCTTGGCCTATGTGCATTATATGCTGTTACTAGTACAATGTTCTTTTGATGTGTAATTTAACTGCAACTTTTTCCGAGTTCAATTGAAATTGTCGACCCTGTTTCTTGCATGGTTGTTTAAAGTCATAGACGTGGAACTTATGTTACACTTCCCTTTATGTTCCTTGATCTACACAAGTATCCTTAGGAGGATTTCGACTTTGTGTGCTTATGTCATGATCTCTATTCCCGTCTTGCAGACGTGGCGATTGTAACCTCATTGCGAGATGGAATGAATCTCGTTACTTATGAGTTTGTAGCATGCCAATATTCAAAGAGAGGTGTTCTTATTCTAAGCGAGGTACTTAGATATTCGTCAGCCGATTTCAATTCATTCTCATAGAACTCAAATTATATTTTAGAATGCGTTGATTCTCTATGATGAGTTCACGAATTCTATTTTGACCGAAGATCATACTTCAGAAAGTATGTGTTCCTCCTTTGACATGCAATTACTGTATCGATAATCGCATACGTGAGATTCTAACTCTGACCATCTTAAATTGCTGTATTTTTTTCTGGACAGTGAGCTCAATGATACAGTGGTTGAGGCACAACTAAGGACGAGGCAAGTCCCACCTGGGCTTCCACACGGAGATGTGATTGAATGTTATTTCAACTCCCACAATCGATTGCTCATACTGGTATGCTTTCAACCTTAAGCCTTTGTCTTTGTGCCCCAGTTTGTCCATTTCAAAAACGTCGCCTCGAGAAAAGGACTAGAATTTTTTCTAAAATACTTAGAGAACTGAACATTTCCTAGATTGAAGAATGCACCATTTTTCTTTCGTGGGACCGACTTCTCTGGAGTGCATTTTCAAATGCTTACAACCCTCGTGTATTTTTTTTTTAATGAAAACTACCATCGTGTATTTGAGTTGCATCATTCTAATGCATTTGAGATTACAGTGCCTAATACACTCAAACAAATCAAAAGTGTCAACGAAAAATGATATATTTATTCAATTCTATTGATAGTATATCTCTTCGTAATGCAGTTGAGGCCTCAAGGAAATCTGAAGTGGACAAATTGAAAAAGCACTTCAGACTGGAGGTAAATTACGCATTTCCAATGTCACTGTTACAATTTTAGGCGGCTATAATGGTTAGACACATGAATGGGTTTCCATATATTTGGCTTCAACATCTGATTCAAAGATCTACCTGTTCTTATGCTGACAGTTTATGGAGGAGCAACCCGTGAGGCATTAGCTAGCCAGGTCTGCTTCACACACAAAAAAAAAAAAAAACAAAACAAAACAAAGAAGAAAAGCCAGGTATGTCCTTTCAATTGCAAACAGTTCATGTCCCGCAATGTACCCTTCGTCCAACAAAAATATGAAGTGTCGATGGAGTTTACTTTTGTGAAATATACCAAGATAAAAGATTTTGTCCCCTAAAATCAATAATGAAATTGTAAACTCAATAAAAAGTGGTCATTGCTTTCCATGGGCGTTTCAACTTCTTGCTATGGAAGTGCTAGTGAACTTCATTTGTTTTTCTTGATGCTTCTGTTCTTTGCACCACGGGTTCTAGTCTGATATTGTTTCTGCAGCAGACCAAAATAAGAAAAAATAATATTAAAGATGTAACTTCCAACACAAAGAATCATCTAATCTTGCTGGTTAAATCATTAGTGTGATTGGAAAAGTCCCAGTTCATGTTCATCGCCTGGACGATCATCATGCCGACTAGTACTGCCAGCACTATGTCCTGTATGCTTCTTAGCTCCCTTCTCTGCTCCCTTCTCTTGTTGACTAGTATTGCTCCTAGTACGTGCCCCGATCTGTTACAGGGCAAATAAACTCTTAAGCTAATAGCCATTTCTAACAAATCGATAATTTAGTGAATAAACAAATGATATATAACCTTCTATTGTGGCTGACTTTTTCCTATGGGCTCTCCAGTAGTATTATGCCTGCTCGTTCGTTGCTTCTGGTAAAAACAAAATAACATCTGTAGGTTATTAACTCTAATAACTATATCAAGAACACCTAACCAGAGATGCTAATTACCTTTGGGGGCTGACCACCTTGGTCATCATCTCCATCATCGTCGTCTCCATCTTCTCCGTCGTCCCCATAATCGTCCCCATCATCGTCCATGTCATCGTCGTCATCCTCCTCATCAGATTGAGATTCTACCACGTCGGCTGGGGGGTTAGTACAAGTGCTCCTATAATGCCCATCCCTTAGCCCGCAGTTCCCACACTTTCTTATTTTTTTCTTAAGTTGTTTTTTCCCTTTTCCTTTCCTACAACCCTTAAACCTCACTTCATTTGGATTCAATACATCTTTGAACTTGTCTGGTATGACAATCCTTTCTCTCTCGGCGGGGGTTTTCTTTACCATCTCCAACTTGTTACACGCTGCTGTCAACTCATCTTGAGCCATTCGATAAGAGAGAGGAGTGTCTGCTCCTAATAAGCAGAATCGTTGAGCCATGAACTGTAGCGACCCGTACCTAATGCTGAAACTGCTGTCATCCCCCAACGTACTTGGTTCTGGCAGAGTGTGTAGGGACTTTGGGTTCTTCGAGCAACGTCTGAGTACCAGTTTTTCAGGAATAGTCTTCACTTTTTCTTCTTTGAGAACAAATAGCATATGAACGCAGGGTATCCCAATACTCGTAAACTTTTGACAACTGCACTCCATATCACTTATTTCAATGTTGTATTTCACCTCTATGACCTTCTCTTTGTTGAACATGGTAACAGTGTAAGTATGTAGGTTCCCCTCTTCAGTTTGGTTACCCTTAATGACTCCAATAACCTCCTCCAACTCATTTTTGAACAAAAGAAATACAGCCTTTGAGAAAAGCTTTGCTGCACTTTGCTCGAGGGGCTTTAGGATTGAATTCTTTATAGGAACTACACCATAATTAGACTCAAAATCTAATCTAATCTCTGTCTCTCTCATGTCTCTGAGCCACCGGTCGTATCGAGTGAAAAAGTCAAGCAAACAGAACCTCTCATTTTCATACCTTGCAACAACCGCATTTATGCTTTCACATCTTGATGTGGTTGTCAACCCAGCAAAGAAATGTGAGCGCAAGTATGTGTCCGCCCATTCGTTGCGTCTCCCAAATAGTTTTTTCGACACCCATTGGTTGTTCTGGAGTTCGCATTCCTCTACCAATGCATTCCATTTCTCCTCAAATTCTTCTGGCTCGTACTCAGCAGTAACTAACTTCTTCCGCCGGGGTTCAAAGTCGGGTCGATTCTTCACCCTGCTAGTGATATTCTTGGACAAATGCCATGCACATAGCCGATGTGTTGCATTTGGAAACACATTAGCAATAGCTTTCCTCATTGCTTTATCCCCATCCGTGACAACTGTACGTAGCGGAATGTCCCCCAACATTTCCTTCACTATCTTCAACGCCCAAATATAGGTTTCGTCAGTCTCAATTGGGCAACAGTGCACTCCCGAATAAGCAAGTTTTGAAGTGATGGTTGATACCTACAATGTCAAACAGAAACTCGGAAAAATCAGAATCTTTTGAACCATCAGGAGAAAAGCTAAAACTGTGAGGAATATGTAAACAATGGTAGATTTTATATAATCAGAAACTTGATGTTTTCTAGATGCCATTATGTGTATTCAAACAACAAAGCAAAGGATAATACTTAGAGGGCATACTAGGATGGCGTACCTGTAAAAATGACCAGTGGCATATTGTAAATGTTTTTTTGGTACGTTGTGTCAAATGCGAGCAACTCTCCAAAACACGAAATGTCGGGTCTGCAAATGCTGTCAGCCCAAAATAAAAAATGGAGCCTTTTTTCCTCATCAGTAGTGTATCGGAGGAGGAAGTGTGGGTCTGTGCTTTTCTTTGATTCTAGATAGGCCAGTGCAGTTGCTGCATCACCCTCGCTGATTCTCTCAGCGCGATCTTTGGTGCTGAAATTTAACCCATCTTTAACTGTATACCCAAGTTTGTCATGCCATCCAGCACAATGCACAGCAAGCTTAATGGCCTGAGAAGGTTTCATTCCGGCATCCTTTTTAAATCGGAGGTCTGCCTTGTCTGCTTCTGTTAATCCTCGATGCGACCTCAAGTAATGTACCTGATTCTGCCTAACTGGGTCATGAGTGTGCTGTGAGTTAAATATATCAGCCACCCACTTATTGCTTGTCTTGTTCAAGCTCACACGAAACATAGCCATGCATTGAAATCTGATCTCCATAGGCGACTCCCTCTTTTGTGGACCTTTATGTGCTTCTCGAACTCCCTGACAAGAACACACGAAGGCTGCACTTGTTACCTCTCCCTTGACATTCTTAACCTTCCTTGAGCGACGGACAGAAAACCCCCAACTCTTAGCATAGTTGTTGTAGAACGCATATGCATCCTCAAAATGATTGAATTCCTGACCGATAAAAGGAGAATTTTGAATAACGTTTGTGTCATCCTCCTATACAGTAGGACCATCGCTGTCAGAGGTCATTGTTTCTGGTATGATTTCAACATCGTTGTCTTCATTGTTGTTGATATTATCTCCCTCTTCCTCCATTGGTGTGCCGTCTTTTTGCTGTTTGTGGGGAGGGGCTGAATCGGGCGCAAAGCAGAGGTCTTTTTGCTGTTGTTGTTAACCTAATCCGTTTTTCACGTGTTATTAGTTTTTTCTATTTTTCCCCGTCATGGTGTACAATTTTTTTTATATTTTAGTACTTTAAATTTTTATTATATTGTTTCCCGTTATGGTTACTAGTTGGATAAAGAATGCAACTAATAAAGAATGCTTGAATTACCGAAAAAAAATACTAAAGAATGCTTGCGTGTTATATATGGTAGATTCAACTTCCAAATAGGTGATGCGGATCGTTTTCATGTTAATTATTACCCGTAAAAATATCATTTTCCTTTTCCATGTGGAGGTTAATGAGGAAGATAAAGTTTCCAGTATCCTTATAGAGAAAAACACTCACCCGTTGGCCCTAGTTTAAGAATGCTAACTCCTTTTCTGCATTCACCAGGAGCTCATTCAGGACAGCAGTACAGGATCTCGGTCAGGGGCAGAAACCAGGAGCAATATGCAGAACGATATGGACGGCAGGATGATGACAAAACGCAAGACCAGAAGTTCTTCCAAATTAATGGTTCGTCAATTTGCATTCTTTTTTTCCCGTTTTCTCCATCGTTGGCAGATTATTCTTCCAAACTAAATAAGGCATTGTGTTTTTATTACGATGAATTCTTTGCTGGAGAAGGATGAATCTCGAGGAAAGAAAGGTAGAACTTAAGATGGTGTGATCCAGATTGATGGTGATTTGCAGGTAGATTGGAATGACTTAGTTTGGAAAGGCCGTACCAGATTTTCTTACTTACAATTCGACAAGAAGGTATGATAATCTAGCCCACCAATTTTCCCCGCTTAGAACAAAATCAATTGTTTTTATCCTTATGTTTCGTCTTCTATTGTAGGGTGAAACAAAGTTTACACTTCCAACACTTCTCAAGTACACTAGAGAGGAAGTGAACCTTGCCCACTACATATTTGCGAAGGATCTTCCACAAAAGGAAGTCCTGGTTGAAACCATGATGCAATCCTATACACGAAAGGTGTTGTGGTCCCTCTGCCCTAAGTCTAATGTCGATGGTGATGTAATTACAGCCATGGCTTGCCAATTGAGCCTGGAGGAAGTTTGGAGGGATGTTGGAGATGGAAGAGTAGTCTGTTATCTGCCTGCTGAACTACAAGTATAGTCCCATTTACTTTGTATATTTATTTAGGTGCAATATTCCGTTTCTCCTATTAAATTTGTTATCTTGTATTTTAAATGAACCATGATCAGGAAATGGTAATTAACTATGGCATGACATCAAAAAAAGCTCTAGAGTGTTACGGTGCAAAGTTCTTGGCAAGAGCTCACACGTGCAGAAAGGTTTCTTCTTAACAATTCCTTTCTTGTTTCATTGAAATATTCCTCAATTACTGTTTCTAGCTACTGTTTGAATTGGATATGCGAATAAATTAGATGTTCCATCAAGATTTTGATATTTCTATAAATTGTATTTTACAATGCTCAGCTGAGTTTGGTCTTTTTCGTCGTTATTTAGGTGTGTCTGCCCATGAAAGATGCAATGGACGGTGATGCAGTTCACTGATATTTAGCTGTCATTATGCTGGACGACAAACAAGTCCATCTATTGGATTCGTATCCTTCTAAAAAGCGCCAAAGATCTCGTAGAAACGCAGTATTAACTATGGTATGGTTTGACCTCCTGATCCTAATACAGTTATATCTCTAAATTGATTTGGGTATTCATCTATCCCGAATAAAGTGATTACTGCTTATGTAGATCGAATTTCTTGATGACTTGTTTGAGGATCTTTATCGGCAAGTGGAACCAACACTTGATCCACCTGTGCTGGAACAATTTTCTTTGACAATTCCTTCAATTCCCGAACAACGTCACGAGTAAGAATTGTTCGTTGTGAACAAATTAGAAACATACTTAGATACCCACCACTCATATGCTGCATCTTATTTTATGTAGGTCTGATAGTGGCGTTTGGGTGTGCTCATGGATGATGGGTGCATCTTGGGATGCTTCTTATAATATACGGGTAAGCAAGAGTTCTCCTACTTGGCCTTGAAGGAAAACAACCTTTCGAAACAGCTACTAAGCCTCATTGTCATTGTCAAACTGTTGCAGCCATGCGGAGTATAAGGAGAATGCAACTAGCTTTGTATTTGGTCCAACACCCTACAAATTACATAAGACATGTCGTCATCGAGGAAGCAAATAGTAATGCATCAAGATTTGTTGCCCAGACTCGTAGGTACAAGGAGGAAAGCCAAAAGAGCGTAATCCAGAACTAGAAGATTCATAGGGAGATGGTGGTTCATTTCTCCTGCAGTAGTATATTCTGGATATTTGGTTGATTAGTTCTCCTGCCAGTACTCTAGTTTTGTTTCCCTTTTCATTTTCGTTGAGAACCAAAACAATACCCTTGAATTGTTTGAATTGTCTGCTTGTCTCTTTCCCTTTTCATGTTCGTTGAGAACCAAAACAATACACTTGTTATTAGGTTAAAATTTTGTCATTGAAGCTATTTGTTGGATCCAACATGGTTATGTTTGCTCCGATGAACGCATAATCTCCGGCGTCCTCCGGTGGCAAGATATGAGATATCCAAAGTCCAAAGCCAAGAATTGGTGCGTTTTTTTGGGCCGAAATAAAGATAACAAAAAACCCCACTGACCAGGAGAATGGTCAATAGTTTCTTGACGCGGAAACTGGTTCAGGTTTTATGAGTTTATCCGGTGTGGACTTAAGAGGGAAGAAAGTTCCAAGATGATGGTCGAGAAGGAAGTAAAGGAAAAAAAATTTGGGTGATGTGATTCGAACCTAGAACTTCATTTAACTACAGTAGCAATTTTACGTTGGGAATGAGGAAGAAACGCGCGACTAAATTTCCAGGGAACTAGATTTTGTTGTTTTGCAGGAGAAATGAACCACGTTTTCTTACTCATATTTCTTATTTTTTGTTGTGACAACAAAAAACATAAAATGAAATGGCAAGTGAATGGGGCATAAGGCTCAAGCCTAGGCGCCTTCTTTAAGCCTTATCTCAGCTGAACAAGCATCAGGAACAAAGCCACAAAAACGTGAACCAACATTCGGATTTAAGAAAAAATAAAGGTAAACACCAAAACCAATCTAAAATGAATTCAATTGGGATCAAAGTGATAGTAAAACCGACCGACTACCAATAAAAGTATAAAACCGACCGACTACCAATAAAACAAAAACAACTACTTTTCTAAAATGAATCAAATAAACTCTTTTGGCATTTTGAGCTGATTTCCCCCTTGAAATGTCTTTCATAAACGGCCCTTGCTTCATCAATAATTTGAGAGCGCCTTGTATTTGAGAGATATTTGACTACAAACCTGCAGCAAATGTATAACATTACTCTTAACATGTTGATTTCGATTTGATAGTGTAGAATCTCACGTGGATGGAATCATATTTAGAAGGAAAGGATTGTATTATACCGCCGTATACGAATTATATCAGCCTCTCCGTGCAACATTCACTGACAGACGTAAAACCCGCACTCATAGCTACGTAGAAAAATAGCATTTATTATTGAAAATAAGATTGTGAATCGAAATGAAATAATCAAAATACTTAAAGAAATACTAACTCATCAATTTGCTTAGAAACGTATGGAGGACTTATGATTTGGAACTTATGCACTTTGGGCACTTCATAGGTTGATGGCTTGTCTGGAAATTCTTGAAGCATCTTGTAAAAGAATTTCAACTGTAACAACAAACTTAACCACGTAACTATTACAGTACAAAAATTAAAAAAAAAAAGATAATTGACTTACTAAATTTACACGAAGGGAATAGTTTGATCACCCACCATTCCTTGCACCCTTTTCCTACGATTTTCCAGCAAACCCAAATCAATAGGCAAAGAGTCCACTACATGCACTACCTTTCGGTCCATGAAAACCACAATAAGAAACCAAGGGCGGTTCTCATCATTCATTGGCAAATATATCTGAAATAAATAAACAAGTAAATGATGACGAAAGAATGAATGGACTATACAGTAAAGGGCAAAACATTAAGAGAATATAGTACCCTGGAAAAATTACTAATATTATTACACCATACCTTGGTGCATTCAAAGGTGCCGCAAAGATATAGGTTCTTATATTTTTCCACGGCTTTTTTTGGAGTCCAACCCATTTTCACAACCAAATCCTGGGTAGCAGTTCACATTCACTATGCTTACCTCAAAATTGGATGGAAGATACCAAGGTCCCTTTTTCCCCCAAGCCCTAACATCAACAGCTAATTGACAAGCTACAGCAGTCAAAATCTAAAATAAGCAAAACCCAAGATTAGTATAGCTAATATGTGGTCAAGTATGCCTTACCAAAACAGAACTACAAAATACTTACATAACCATGAAGCCACGTTTCTGGCAGCAAGTCCTTCAGTTCTAGACGACTTAAACTATGGCCAAAATTCACAACAAGCCATTTATCATCTTGTAGACCATCACCAAAGATGAAACACGCAATGGAACGATCCTCATCATTATCTAACGCCATTATTGCAGTCACCGGAAATTCCACCTACGATTTGAATTTACCAAAACTTACAATACATAGGTACATCATAAACATTTTAAAATCACACAGGTGTTATTTCTATAAATAAATTCTATATACCTTCCCCGATACATTTATATATTCCACAGCCGCATTTTTTGGCCTCTTGTGTGAATCATCGCCATCTGCATCTGAGTCGGAATCTATATAAATAAATCCATTTACGCTAGGTGTGAAAGGAACAACAGTGGGAGCTGAACTTCCAGATGCAGTCACCGGAGATTCCATCTACGATTTGAATTTAACAAAAATTACAATACATAGGTACATCATAAACACTTTAAAATGACACAAGTGCAAATTGTTTAAATAAATTCTATATACCTTCACCGACTCATTTAAATCTTCCTTGACCGCATATTTTTGCCTCTTGTGTGAACCATCGCCATCGCGATCTGAGTCTAGGTTTGAATCAATATAATAAACTCTTTTTATGGTAGGCGTGACAGGAACATCCGTGGGAGGTGAACTTCCAGATGCTTGATCAAGAATGCGTTTCGACATCCTCTTTAGCACTTGAAATTCAGTATCAGTTTTCATTATCATTGCAGTCAAAGATTTAATCTTATCGTACAACTCAGTGAACGTCGTCTCCATGGCTCGAAAGGTAGTCGATATGGATCCAACAACTTTCTTAGTATCATGGCTCGACATGCTAAACAACAAAACAAAAGAAAGAACATACATGAAACAAACAAAAGTCATAAACAAACAAAAGTCAAAGCGGCTTAAGGAGCGAATAAAGAACATACATGAAAGGAAAAGGGTTGTAAGAAAGGAACAACACAAACGACCAAAAGAAAGAGCTATTTTAGTTGTTGCACTGTACCGAGATTTCTCCATTGCAATTAGTTTCTCCCCGCCAACACAGAAGAAAAGTCTTACTTTTGTTAAAGTCACCAGGGAAAACGGCAGGAGTTATTATTTTTTACAAGGTAAACTCTAGGCTTGGCGTCCCTTTATATAGACCGCCAAACAAATCTAATTTATTAATACCATTACATCCAAAAAAAGAATTCCTCTATTGACACCTAAACTGATCCAACTAAGGAAAGCAAGCCTATTAACAAGGAGTACAGATTAAATCCCCACCAATGACAAGCCTATTTACAAGCATATTCCTCTATTGCCTTTGGCTCCACCACCGAACGAGGGAGGCCATCTCCACTGGCTATAAAGAACACCTGAAGAATGAGAATCAATTTATCAGTAGCCAACCTAGTACTGTTTCTTTCTTGACCAAAAAAAATTTCGGCCATCACTATTTATGAACCGAACACAGACGTAATTACACATATCACATATGCATTGGAGAGAGAGAGAGAGAGACAGAGGAAATGATAGACCTTCAAGATATCGAAGTCTTCTTCCATCATAACAACATCTAAATCAGAGAATGCACGAGAGGGGCCTCAGTTAAGCAACACCCAAACATATCCCTACTGTAGCAAGATAATGTGTACAAATTATATACAAGCTTTAATGGAAGGTTTGCGAATTCAAAGTACAAAAGAGAATTTGAAGACCTACCAACGATGATCGGCAAACGCTTAACAACACCGAGTCTCTGAATTTATCATCAATCAATCGGCATATCTAATCAAGAACCTGAAAATTATATGCAAGTTCAGCTAAGAGAAGCAAGCAAGACAAACAAAGAGGAGGCTCCACTGAAGGAAATTTCCCAAGCGAGAAGATCCAACATCACCTATTGGGCCTGGTACAAAAGGCCTGCTTAGTTTAGTTTTATGTTTTAATTTTACAAGAACTCATTTTATAGTTATAAATATAACAGTGGAAGTATATTGAATCAAAATCCTTGTTCAGCATGAATGGTGAAGAATGCCCATGGTAATGACCAGGACGCTGGTTCGAACCTCACTCCATTACAAAAAAAATTTGTTTTCAGCTACACCTATAGAACGACGCGTTCTCCAGGCCACTTTCGATTCAGAGACGAGCACAATCCCCTCTCTCCATTTCATCCTTAGTCATTGTTTATAGGACATAAAGGTCATAGTCGTTCACCGTCAATTGACGGCAGCGTACGGCAGCGTACCTACCCACCGCTATCGGCGATCCGCACTTCGGCCCACCTCTCGAGTCTGCACTCTTCACTTCTCCGATCCTTCCTCATCCGCCTCTCGAGCACAAGATTCAATCCATCATGCCTCGAACAGATCACTCTCTTAATCCATAGAGGGATTAAACATCGATGGGAAGCGCAAAATTCAATTGCTTCAATCGATAGCCAGGATGAGAGGAGAGGGTTCGTTAGCCACTACAGACAGCAAATGGAAAGGGGGTTTGAGCGTTGACATGAGTGGGAAAAGGAATAAATCACCAAGCTAAAATTGTAAGTAAATATAACTTAATGGATTGGAGACATGATTAGAATAAAATTTGATACTATAATTCAAAAATATGTTGAAAAGTTTGTTTAGGGGTTAAAGGGTACGCATAAAAAAGTAATAGGACCAACTAATCATTTAAAAATTGTAAAAATTAAATAATTTAATTCCAATTATTAAACACCGTTAGATTAGATCTACGGTGTAGAAATCCTGTCGCATAGTATGTGTCTGACGCATACGAGTGTGATCCATATATATATATGGTAATGACTAGTATTAGGGGTGGCAGTTTGGTTTTCGGTTACCGGTTAACCGATAACCGAAATTTTTATGCTTCGGTGGTTGTCGGAGCTCCTAATAGGTGATTCGGTTAACCGACTAACCGAAAACCGGTTACCCTTTTAACCGAAAATGACCAAAAATAACCGGCCAACCACCCCCTGACTCGACTCTTCAGACCCTCTCAATCTGAATCTCTAGCGGGCGACTAACCCCCACCGGAGTAGACAGATTGAGGCCCTAAGAACAAAACCTCCACTACCGGAGTAAATCCGGTACAGAATAGTGAGTTGGCTCCTCGACTAAAGTCACCAACTCCCTACCTTCAATCAAGGATACCCTATTAACCTAGGCAGATATTCTCATTCTAGGTTAAAGCAGAAACAACAGGAATTTGATCAGGATTCAAGTCATTCAATCATTAAAACCTCAATCGAATATAATCAATCACAGAATCAGTACTTGGGTTCATACAATCAAAGCCTAACATACAAATCTAGGGTTCTCCATACCCAGATGAATGGGAGAACTACTCCATAGAAAAGAAAGCAAAAGTAGAATCAGACACGGAATTCATACTGCGAAGGATGGATTCCTGCTTCTGGACGTTGATTGGCACTTCTCCAAGCTCAAGCTGGCCTCCAATGGTGTTGAAGATCAATCTAGGGCACTTGGGAACTCTTGCTCGTCACTTTCTCTCTCTAGGAATCGCTCTCTTTCTCAAAAACCCGAATCCCCGCGAATTGTGGCTGAAATTCTGCTTAAAAGGAGAAAATCCCGACTCACACGGCCAGGGTGGCACGGCCGTGCAGCTCACCCAGTTGCCCGTGTGAGTCAAAACGCATCGTTTCATTTAGTTCGAATTCCAGGCTCTTTGCAAGGCCAGAATGGCACGGCCATGTGGACATCCCCTCTTGCCCGTGTTTGCTCTCGCAGAATGTGGCACGGCCAACCCGGCCACTTGCACGGCCGTGTCGATCCTCTGCTCTGCCCGTGTGTGCTCTCGGCAAAACTCGCACGGCCAGGCCATTACTTCACACGGCCGTGTGAACATCAGGGCAGCCCGTGTGACCTCCTTTGTGACTTGTCTTGCACCCGATCTTCACCCAATCGACCCCGAACTCGCTCCTAAACCTTCATTCACTTGCCAGGACCTGAAATATCACAAACAAGCACAACCTAGCGTGAAATCGGTCTAAAACACGAGAAACCACCTCTCAAACGGTGTAAGAACAGGGGTGAAAACATGTGTAACTAACGGTCTATCAAACTCCCCCACACTTAACCGTTTGCTTGTCCCCAAGCAAACCAAGTCAGACACAAGGTAAGCTCAAAACAACAAGGCATGACATATCGGCACAAAACACGTGGATCATACTGGCTTTCGATCAGTAACACATGGACAACTTCAATGACAACCTAGACAACCACCACTGATGACATTCGAATGCAACAAAAATCGAGCAAAGGAAGAGTTTCCCTTCTGTTCACCAACCAACATAGACTTAACTCAACCACTTGTTCAAAACAGTCACATCATGCACAAACTTCAAGGTATCAGAAGTAAGACCGAGCAATCAAGGTCCTCACCGGGATAAAGAGTATAAAGAATAAGAGAAAATGAATCGCTCACTCTCGACCAGTGGGGTCAGGACAATATGATGCGAAAAATGCGCATGCTCAATCTCTCAATCCCTAACATCTCTTCATCATGAATGCAGCCTCTAAGTGCTAGAGTTCACAAATGGGGTGTCATCACTAACTAATCCGGAGGTCTTAGACACAGGTTCAGATGACTGGTTAGGGTCTTGGACATGGGGAAAAAGCCTTTTAGGTGGTGGAAGTATTCATACAGCACAAGGTTCCACATTTCCAAACCCAACAGACTCACAATCAATCAGACCAGAAACTTTCTTTCTGCTACTCTGCATTACTCAAATTTAGAACACAAGAGCGAAGGAGGTTACATAAATGCTAGTATTTCTAAGCCAGACTGCTAAGAAACACTACTACATGGGCATTATTTAGATTTTTAGTGGTGGCTCTCTTTTGCTTTCATTTTGCTTTCATTTTTTTTTCTTTGATTTTCTTTCATTATTTTCCATTTCTTAAGAGAACCACCACCTCTGCACAATTTCAAACACCTGCCCAACTTTTAAGCACTACCTCCAACCCTCACATTACTTTTAGCAGAAACAGCAGAGAATATGTAAAAACCACTCTGTGGAACCTTCTAAAAGATGCAAATGGTGATTTTTTTTTTCATTTCAGACCAAAAGAAAGGATAACACACGGCTCAAAGGGGCTGACTAGGGGGTATGACACACTAGGATAGTCAATTTGGTCGTGGGCTAATCCTATGCCTCCATCATCTTAGCTAATGACACGTGAATGCTGCACATCATGGAAGAGGAAACTATCGCACAAGAAAGAAACGAGCAGGCTCAAATCTCACATGGCTACCTATATGCTCTATCTCTCGTTCTGATTCCCTGAACTAGATGCATAAATGACTGTCAAAAGCAAGTGATCAAACCAAGTCACATTTGGTGAGAAGACAGTTGAAAAACTGAACCCCTACACAATTCTACTGCACATCTCAGTCATCACAATAAGTTGTCTAAGCCACACTCAAGTTGTCATGTATCAAGTCAAAAGCCATTCAATTCTCTAATCACATCCACAGTGCCAATATGATCAATCATCAAGCAAACAGCCGTGCTTGGAGCCCTCAAATCTCGAGATTTGGACAGTGGACTAGGCTCCAAGCACACAAACAGATCTAATGCAGTCAAAAGATAAATATCCCCCACACTTAAGATCGACATTGCCCTCAATGGAGAAGAGGGAAGGGAAAAGGGAAAGATGTTACCGGGATGCACGGACTGCAGGGGACTGGAAGCGGACCAGTCAGGGCGAGCACAGCCAAGGGGAAACAGAAGAGCTCAAACACAGTATGTTAGGTTCAATGGTCAGCCCAATAAAATATCATCCAAACCAAAAGAAAACAAACCAAACCCAAACCGAGTTACAATCCGACTCAAAACACAAGAAAGAAAATCAAACCATGGTGGGGTTGCCTCCCCACAAGCGCTTCTTTACCGTCTTTTAGCTGGACGCCAATTGCGGATACTCAGGGCGGTGTAGGAACAGGTGCCTCCAAGAGCGGATCCACGTCGCTCTTGAGGTACAGCTTCAGGTTGTGGCCATGCACCCGACGGATGCGACCACCCTCATCAGTCAGCTCGACCTGCCCATCTGGCAAGATGCAGGAGAGCGAGTACCCAGACGGCCAGGGTGGTCGTGGTGCAGGAGGTGGGACCAGCTCATAGTGGTCTCCACTCTTCTTCCGTGCAGGCTTAGCAACCTGCTGCTTCGGCCGCCACTCCTCCTTGAGCTTTTTGTTCGGAGGCGAGGCTGGATGGAGTGGCGGCGAAGGAATGATAGGAGGGTCCTGCAAAATAGGAGGTGCAGAAGGGTACACGACAGACTCGTGTACCTGATCAGACATAGCATGCACAGGCGTGACAGCAATCATAGCACAGTGATCAAACTCAGTCACAGAAAAAGTAGCCTGTTCATCCCCAGCATGCAAGATCAACTTACCATCATGCACATCAATTAGTGCCTTGGCGGTGGCAAGAAATGGCCTACCTAGAATCAAGGGCACATCCACATCCTCATGTATATCAAGAATAACAAAATCAACAGGATATGTGAATGCACCAACACCAACAAGCAGATCCTCTATGATTCCCCTAGGATGCACAATAGAACGATCAGCTAATTGAATGCTCATCCTAGTAGGGCTAAGTTCACCTAGGTCTAGTATTTTATACAACTTATATGGCATGACGTTAATGCTAGCGCCTAGGTCCGCCAAGGACTTTCCTACATGCATGCTGCCAATAGTAAGAGGGATAGTAAAACTCCCTGGATCCTTGCGCTTCTCGGGCAGCTTGTTCTGCAGGATAGCAGAACACTCCTCGCTCAGCATCACTGTCGAGAGATCCCCAAGTTTCTTCTTGTTGGTCAGATATCTTTCATGAACTTGGCATACTTGGGCATCTTCAACAGTGCCTCCATGAACGGTATGCTGATATTGAGCTGCTTCAATATTGCCAGGAACTTGGCAAACTCAGTCTCCATCTTGTCCTTGTGTAGGCGAGTGGGGAAGGGAAGTTGGGGTACATGCTCCTTAACCACTGGTTGTGGCTTGGGAGCAGGGGCTTCTTTCTCCACCCGCACTTCTGCATCGTCGGCTGGAAGTGCTGAAGCAGGCAGTGGTTCCTCCTGTCTGGCCGGGACAGGATCAGCAGATATGGTCTTACCGCTCCTGGTAAAAATGGCATCCAGCTGCTGATGCTGGTGAGGATCTCGAGGATTCGGAACAGTGGTGGCAGGCAGAGTCCCCGGTGCCCTGGTAGTGTTTTGGCGGGCCAAGATGCCCACCTGGGTCTGCAGATCCTGCAAAATGGCACCCTGGTTCCTCTGACCTGCCTCCAGTGAGGCTACACTCTGGTCCAACCTCGTGATAGTCGCCTGAGTGCTCGTCATGAATGAAGCTAGAATGTTTTCCAGCTTCGTCATCCTGTCATCTGGGGCTGGAGCTGCTGCTGGCTCGGCAAACTGGCGCTGGGGCTGCTGGAATGGCTGCTGTGGAACTAGCCCCTGTCGAGCCTGGTAGGGCTGCCTCTGCTGAAAACCACCTGCTGGTGCTGGGAAACCAGGTGGTTTAGTGGTGTTGCTGCTCCAGGCAAAGTTGGGATGCTGGCGCCACCCCTCATTATATGTGCTACTTTATGGATCGAGGCGCCTCGCATTGGCGATGAAGGCCAACTGCTCCTGGGGTGTGGTAGACTCCCTCATAGCCTGGCAGTCCTCCACTAGGTGATTGGAGCTCTCACACCACTAACACTGAGCAACTTGAGGTGTAGCCAAACCTCTGCCCGGAATTAGACTGTTAGGCTGCTTCAATGTCTGCACTAGCTCAGCTACCTGCTGCTCGAGCCCGGATCTGGTCTCCATGGCGTGCACACCACGGTCCCTGGAATGTCTTCCTCTGCTGCTCTGCCCCCAAGAGTGATCTCTGGCAGCCAATGTATTAATCATCTGATTCAGCTCGGGTGGAGTCTTGGTGAGAACATCCCCTCCTAGGCATAAAGACTCAATCACCCTCTGGCTATCTGGGGAGAGAGCACTGTAGAAGTTCCCCACAGTGAAAGCATCACTAAAGCCATGGTGGGGGCACTGCCAGAAGTAGCCCATGTACCGCTCCCAAGCATCACGGAGTGACTCATCTGGCTCCTGGCGGAAGTGAGTGATCTCCCGCTGAATCTCTGTAGTCTTCGATGCTGGATAGTACCTGTGCACGAACTTGTCCGCCAGATCGTCCCAAGAGGTGATGGACAATGGGGGCTGGGTCTCCAACCACCTCTTAGCATTCCCCGCCAGAGAATGGGGGAAGAGATGAAGGCGGATCGCATCATCGGGAACACCGTTCAGCTTGAACCCGTTTGTCAGCTGCAGAAAACGGGACAAATGTACACTGGCCTCCTCATCCTTCAAGCCATGAAACTGGATCGAGGATGTGATGAGCTGAATCCAGCATGGCTTGATCTCGAAGTTGTTAGCTGGGATCGGTGGGTAGAGGATGACCGGGCGGATGTCAGCAATCCGAGGAGTGTACTAGTACTCCAAGGTGGGACCCGGCTGCGGTGGATGATGAACTCCATGATCCTGGGGTATGGGGTTGTTCCCCAGGACCTGATTCACCGGGGGAACCTGCTGCGGATTCCCCTGGTGCGGATTGTAGTCTCCGTCCATCCCGTGCTCTTCTTCAGAATCGCTACTCAAGTGGCCGTCTATGCGCTCTTCCGTAGCCAGTCTAGCTCGCTGTTGTCTCCTAAGCTGGCGACAGGTGCGGTCAATCTCTGGATTCAACGGCAGTAAACCTCCTGACTGGTTACGGGTCATGCACTACCTGCACACACTCAAGCAAGCAAACCCATGAAGGCACAAGTGGGACAAAGCAAACAAAGCAAAAAGAAAAGCTAAATTAACAAAAATCACTTTTCTTCAACAACCTAGCCGTCCCCGAAAACGGCGCCAAAAACTTGACTCGACTCAACTGTCACTCCAGGAATTGGCCAAGTGAAACCACTTCCTAAAGCGTAGTATAGCGGGTTAGGTTTATATGTCAACCCGGGTCCTAGATTTGCTGACTACTCAGTGAGTTCTTGTTATCTAGCAATAAAACTGGAATGCAAGTCTAACTAACAAACTAACAAAGCAAGTAAACTGGTTGTATTCAAGTTAAGAGAGGTCACCCGGATATGGTTCCCCCTACACTGCAGTTAAGCCGGATTGTAATTACCAAGTTCAGTTTCTATGAAGATTATACTGCGGAAGGTTCTTAAACAGCCTGAAGTCTCGACTAAAGGTCTTCAGACCCTCTCAATCTGAGTCTCTAGCGGGCGACTAACCTCCACCGGAGTAAACAGATTGAGGCCTTAACAAACAAAACCTTCACTACCGGAGTGAATCCGGTACAGAATAGTGAGTTGGTTCCTCGACTAAAGTCACCAACTCCCTACCTTCAATCAAGGATGCT